AAGACGAACCTCCGGCAGGCTTCACACTGCTGTTCAGTCTATTCTCATAGATGCCCAACAGCAGTGAGTGAATAGCCGAATGCCACTGAGCGGCATTCGGCTCGGCTGTCCTGCTCGGTCCCTCTGTAGAACCGAGCAGAATAGAAAAATAGTTAAAGAAAACGATTGTGCGGAGCTAGCAGTGACAGCTAGCTCTGCCCAACTGTTTTCTATTGGCCGGGCGGTTCTGCTGCCGGTCAAAAAGAAAAAAAGAACACACCATAGGAATGCGTAGCTAAATTCCTATTGGCTATTTCACTTTGCAATAGCCAATAGTATCAAAATGGCATTATGTATATGTATATACAGGTGAAACTCGAATAATTAGAATATCGTGCAAAAGCAATTGCACTAAGTGCTGCAAAAGTAAACCTAGTCTGTTTATTTTCTCCATCTCTGTCCTATTGGGCAGATTTTCCTTCATTTCCTGTCCTGGAGATGCAGCAGGAAGTGAGAGGAAACCTCTAAAAAAGGGAGGGGAACTCCCAAATTAGACAGGCGAAACAGATGTCCTATTTGAAGATTTCCTCTTATCTCTTGTTCTGGTGACATCTGTAAAATTTTGGATTTCCCCTCAGTCTCTCTCCACTGATAGCAGTCACTAAGACAAACCACTCAGTAAATCTCTCTAGTGGGGACACAGACAGCAATAAAACCTGACAGAGGGTAAAATATTTGTTGAAAATACAACAGCATATAGTACAGATATATCCCCTGCACTCCTTGCAACGTCTGGGACCAATAACAGAAGTGTTGCTCGCAGTGATAATCACGGACGGTGCCTTGCAAGTCAAACGTGAGATAGTAGAGGATCACCAGCGCTCGAAAGATATCGTTAAATCTTTTTTGTTCATTTATAGAAACGCAGCGTCACATACATCCAATAGCCAAGGTTTTCAGTGCCATAGTCACTATGTCGCCCTGATAAAACAGGAAAATTGTATTTCATACTTACCGTAATTTTCCTTTCCTGTCCAGCTCCATGGCAGCACACGAATGGGTTAATCCATCCCTCCTCCCCCTAATCAGGATCGTAACTCATAAAAGCTGAAAGAGTCCCCTGGCTTGCCGTTCCATAATTCACTTGAAAGTCAGTCACAACCTTGGGAATGAACCTCAGCATGGGAACTCGTATCACTCCATCTGTGGGGAAGTGTTGTTTAAACCCAAGAGCGGCCAACTCCAAAACCCGTCTGGTGGAGGTGATAGCAACTAGAAAGGCAGCGTTTAATGTGAGGACGAGTAGTACTGGGCTTCCTAGAATGAAGAAGAGTATCGACTACCCTATCTGAGCAACTCAATGTGAGAAGTCTCCGCCTCTCAATATCCATGCTGCTAGGCAAAGTTTCACAGGTGCTGGGTGAAGGATCGGACCTTGAAAGAAGGTCGAGCAATGGCGGTAGGAATAGTGGAGGCTGGATACCCATCAGGCGGAGGAGAGGATACCAAGGCCCCTTGATACACAGGAAGTTCATTCTCTGTATGTATGTTTCCTGTATAATGCTGTATTCCTATATATATATATATGTATACAACGTTCTTCTAAGCAAGTAAAACTTGCAGCATTCCTCAAGATCTCAGTGTTTCATCTAAACACATAACTAAAAGGTAACAGGTTATGGGCCCAGACACTAAACAGAATACTGCAAGTCAACCAATGCTGCATCCAAGCTGCTGAGATATGGCGAGCAGTTCAGATGTGAAGTTTGCAATCTCAAAGCTCAACAATAGCAACTACTAGCTATGGAAGTTCAAGCTTGAAATGCTGCTAAGCAAAGACGACTTGTGGCAAGTAGAGTATTGGAAGGCCCAGAGAAGTCAATGGCAATGCATTTACATGCATAAACCATGCGTTTTGAAGTGTTGACAATAGGTATTAAGGCCGTGTTCACACCTGTGCAATTTAACATGCATTAATGCACAACAAGAGGATTGCCCATTAACACCAGTGCCCTGTGCTGCTATGCACTGGAAAAAATAGTACAGCTGCGTTTTTTTGTGCATCAGGAACATCATGGTGTAGCCCTGAGGAAGGGCTTATCGACATAATGTATCTGAAGTAACTTTGCAAATTGAATCATTGAGTGCTGTTGTCCTTCCTATCATCTGTGCATTCCTGACGTTCTGCACGGCACCATCCATTGTGGTCACTACGAGAACCTTCTGCTGTGTGGTGTGCAGCTAGCATCTACATTGTTTTTTTGTTGCATCAACACACGGTATAGTCCCTACACACGTTGGTTGCAGCAACATGCATTTTGTGTTTTAATGTATGAGAACAAGCCCCACCCCCCAAGCAACCTCTTCGCCAAATGAAAAAATGCAGAAAGCATGGAAACACATGAAATGCACTAAAAAATGAAGGAAAATGCAGATGCAAATGTGTGTCCCTAGCTTAAAGGAGAACTATGGGGTCAGGGCTTTCCCCCATAGTTCTCCTTAGGGAAACAGGAGGACACAAACTAGTGTCCCCCTATACCCTAAGCTCAGTATACCGCGAGCTACAGCTCGTACCCGCCCCCTCCCCCGTCCGATCCGCCAGTCAGCGATCGCGGATCGGAGCGGGGAGGCGGGAATCCAGCCCCTCCCCTGTCACGGCTCTCTGCCGTGATCGAGAGGTGAGCGAACGCCGGTATATGTTTGCTCACCTCCCGATCTACTGAGCCGACCTGTGACAGTCTCATTGCCACAGGTCGGCTAGAACTATGAGGTGAGTGAAAAGCACTCACCTCATAGTTCTCCTTTAACAAGCCTTTGTCAATGGTCATCAACTCCAAATTCTAAATTTAAAACTGCATTGAAAAATGCATGTCAAAACACATATCAATGCACAAAGGGAAAAGGCCACTGATGCATGAGAATGCACCTGCCTAGCGCAACAATAAAAGCACCACTATACACACACATACTGTAGATGTAAATGGGGCCAATTTCTTGGAAATGCAATTAAGAGTGGAGTGAGTACTTGGTGTCTATATATGACATAACTCAGGCAGGTTATGAAACATAGCATAATTTCGGGAAGGAGGCAGTAAAACCAGGCCGTTGATTTGAGGTTTTACCACCCCCAGTGACCTGCTGCAATGTTAGTACTGCGGTCGAACATTGCCACAGTCTTGATGCTATGTGGCAAAAAAATACAGTATGTGGTGTGTTTGGCGTTGCCTATCTCAAACGCGATCATTGCAATGAAAAATCTATTTAATTGAGAATTCCCCCCCCAAAAATCTGCATTCAGGAGGCTACATTAGCACTTTGTGAACTCCGGGCAGCCCATGCTCCACCGCCCTCTGAGAATGATCCACAGCGGATGGTTGGTGTCAGTTAGCGTCACTTGTATGTCTGCTTTATCATGCGTACCTGTGCACACCTAGGCATTTTGTCACTCAAAGGTAAGTGCAACTAAAGGCTCAAGAAAAGGAATCCCATTAATTTCTATGGCCCCTGTTCACACCTGAGCATTTAATCACAAGCAGAAAAAACGCCTGTCACTGGAAAAAAGAACAATAGCTACTTTTTGGCAGATTACAGCACTGTTTGGTCCCATAGACTTCAATGGGAAACTTATTGCGACAAAACACACAAAACAGGTGTGAACAAGCAGTGGTGTCACAAGGGGGTGTGGTGTCACAAGGGGGTTGTGGCTTGCACAGGATGACATCATCAGACGCGGTGATACTAAAATGACTGACAGTCATTTTGGTGTTACCCCATCCCCCCTCTGAAAAGTCGGGCATTCAGTCATGGAGAGCCCGACAGCTGCACGAGAGAGGAGTGGACCCGGCGGCATACCTTATCCGGGCGGATGGACGCCCCCTCCTCTCTTTGCCGGCATCCATTACCAAGATGGCTGCTGGCGGTTAAGTGCACGTGATGATGTCATACACGTGCATAATGATGTCCCGGCAGGTGACACCCAGCCTGGGGATGCCTCCTCTGATTCCAATGGTAAAAATTAGGCTAGCTCACAGCATTGCATTCTGTTCCAGAGCTTATTAAAAAAGGAAAGCACCAAAAATGCATGTAAACACACTGGAACGTGCTTAAAACCCAAGGAAAACCAAATGAGAAAAAAAACCCACACTGGAATGCATAAAAGACGCATCAAATACATGCATGCATTTGCAGAAACTCTTCTAGATCTGGTCTGGAGATGGTGTGAACAAATCCCTTGGTGTATTTTGCGCTGTGCATTTTCATAAGTTTTTGTTTTTGCCAATGAAGGTGAAAATAACGCACAGGTTTATATCGGATAGGGGGTAAAGCGCATGAAAATGCACAACACCTTTCTTTTTTTGTGTGTCTCTTGAAATAGCGCACCAAAAGACACGCCTACACCTTTCTGAAAATCGCTGCATCATGTTGCATAGGTGTGAACGAGCACCGTAGAGAATAATGGAATTTCCGTTGGCGTGCATCGCGACATATCGCCCTAGTGTGACCGGGGGCTTCCCATTCTCCCAGATGGAATATGACATGTATGGGATGTTGCATAATTCTGATCCATGTAAACTGGTCACGTTGTATTCAGAGATTTGTTACAAGTAACATAAGAACGGATTTTAAAGGGGAAATGTGATGAGTAGAGCGTGTGGGACGAGAGCCGTAGAGGAGGGGCGCACTCCCCTCCCCCTCCAGTGACGGTCTCATAGGGAACCCTCTTCCCATCGTAGACCTATGGAGAACAGCCCCGACCTTCCCCTCACTCAATGCAGATGAGGCAGCCGGGCCAGCCAATAGCAGCGCGGCGTGGGCGGGGCCGTGGAGTCACATAGCGGATTGCAGAGAAATTTGGGAAAAGTTTTAGCAGAGAGAAGTTTGCAGCAATGCCCTTACTGAGTCCTCTGCCAGATCCCTATAGGAAGGAAAGCTAGGGGGGCAGGGAGGAAGGGGCTGAAGAAAGAAAGAGAGAAAGACTGTGCCCGAAAGGAGGAGGGGGGCTTTTCTTCTAACTGAAGGGGGGCAAAATGAGCCTGCTGTCAGCCATAGATACCACTGCTTCAGTCTACCAGCCTGCCCAGCTCCTCAACTGGGTCTATCTTTCCCTGCAAGACACTCATCAAGCCAGTGCCTTTGATGCCTTCAGACCAGAGTCCAGCAATGCCTCCCACCCTGATCTGAACAGCTACTCCAAGAGCCCCCCAGATCTCAACTCTTCCATCCACTCCAGCTATCTCAGCAACTTCCTGCAGCTCCAGAGGACTGAGGTGTGTCCCTTACATCCCCCATATCCCCCCCTTCCTTCTGTCTGTCACCAGAACTAACTGCTCACTTGATATAAACTGTATCCTTTTCTAATCTCTGCTTTTCTGTCCTGTCTCAATACATGTCATCTGCAAACTACTACTACGCCTCCCTTCCTTCTATTTGCTCCAGTGACTATAATCTACACCTATTTATATGTACAGTATTTAGTAAATCACCGTTTCTCTCATTGCATTGTTGATATTGAATGCTCAATGTAGCTTTTCAGCGTATCATAACATCAGCAAGTTGTATAAACTCTGAAAAGTTTTGCAAAACATCAGCACTTCCAATCACTGCTGCAAGGACTGATAGACCAGAAAGGGAGTTTTCCTTTTCAGTATAAATAAATGTCTTCCTTGTATATTCGGTGGATATTTGGTGTCAAATGTGCGCTGCCCTAGCAAGCTTTTTTTTAATGTGGCTCAATACAAAGAAGAGAAAAAGAAGCATTTTCTGCCTTGCCTAGCGAGTTTTATTTTAGGGCATCTGGCATTGGTCTGCGGAGAAAATTCCTTTATTTGCTTTAGATCAGCCAGAGTCCAGGGAAGTGTAAGGATAATATTGTTGACAGTGTGATTAACCCAGTCAGCGCCAAAACGACTTGGCAGGAGCTAACAAAAGCCTGCCCTGACAGCTGCTCTTGTAGACAAATGGTTACACAGATTTCCCTTTGAGTGATCCCAGACAGTAATATCTATCCAGGGCCTGCAACGAAAAGAAAGAAAGAAAATTCCATCAGCTTTATCCAAGCGTGCTATAAAAGTTTTAATAACAATTTAAGGTTTTCTTTTTTTTTTTTTTTTTTGCATGCAAACTTCAAAGTATTCCCGGAATATGAATCTCCCAGACTGCTTTCAAAAACAAACTTTCCATCCAAATATTCTTAAGGAACATTAAAAATGTCGGGCAGTAGTGCATTCGGAGGTCAGCTGTTCATCAGAACAGCAAGATCCGACTTCCAAGATATGCTCCACATGTATATAATTATTCCAACCAGAAATGGCAGAGAAATCTTATTGTGGGTTCAATTTATGGATTTGTTGTGCAGAATCTCGGCCTCTGAAGCTGCCTATACACAGGAAGAGATCTTTGCTTTTGGCTTGCTGGATAGATAGTGTAAGGGCCAATAAAAGTCCAATTTAAAATCTTAAATCAAAAGGAAGGTTGGGAATATTTATCCAGTTCCCTCTTGTTCTACATTGTGATGTTAGCACTAGGCCTTGTGTTATTTCTTATAGCTTATGTGGTGATCTTATGATGTACCGCAAATGGTGAGTGAAAGAAGAATCGTTGTACGATCGGTCAATTTGCAAAGGTTTAACCTAAAAAGTCTGTTATCTAACATGAAGGGGCTTTCTGCTTGCAGCAAAAGCCACCTTTGATTACAGGCTGCAGAGTTATAGCAAACATTTTTCCCTGCCACAGAGAGCAGGGAGATCCCTCCCATGGTGTGAAAAGTGCAGATGGGTGCTATCATATCCTGTTCTTAGCTGCTTATGTATCATTATGTGTTACAGTGGACAGAAGCAAAACAATTACATGTATGCTGCATAACACAGCAGTTTTTGTTTTTCTGAGCCCCTCCTCCCCTGGGTTACATAGTTTTATTATTTGTTAATCCTGCTGATAGATCAATTGATTTACCTTTAACAGGGTGACAACGTTGTTCATTCTGCAGTTTAATCAATGCAGTGTTGTCAGGGTAGTTTTAGATGGGCATGTAATCTTAAGCTGTCCATACATAAAGATGAGCTAAGGCTAGATGCACATGGCCAGCAAAGGGAGGCCGCCTGTGACGATCACTAAAATCCTTGTTGCTGAAGCTACTGTTGAAAGCACACACAGCGCCCACGAACACCAGCAGCAGCTGTCAGGTGTGTACTCTGTACAAATCAATGGTCTGGGGTGCCACTGCCTCTGACCAACCCTGGCTGCAACTGTGTGCTTCCAGGAAATGCATTTCTGGCCAGACACAAACTGGCTGCAGCTAATCGGCTAGTTTGTATGTGGCCATAGCACTGAGTCCAGCTGTGTCAAGAGGTGGGGTTTAGCCACCTCTGAACACCGCAAAGTAGCCACCCCAGATGGCTTGTGTGAATGTAGCTTAAGTAAGCTACAAACAAATGAAAGCCCCCCATTCAGCGAACACTTTTTAGGCAGTTAAAACATTCGTTTTTTTTTTCTTTTGATAAAGGGCTTAAACTGGGGATGGCCAAACTGTGGCCCTCCAGCTGTGGTGGAACTACGAATCCCATGAGGCTTTGCAAGATTCTCACAGCCACAGACATGACTCCCGGAGAGATATGCTTCATGGGATTTGTTGTTTCACCACAGCTGGAGGGCAGGAGTTTGGCCATCCCTGGAACAATATGAATAAAAGTGACCATTGTAAGCCCCCCCATCAGTATAAGCTCTGATTCACATCTAAGCGTTTTGTAGCTTGAAGCTGAAAGCTCCAAAACCCTCAACAACTAAAATCCTATACTTTTAATTCTACATATGAGCACTCAGGCGCCTGGAGAGTGATGCCTGACACTCAAAAAGGCATATGAGCGTTTTTGGCCCTATAAAAGTCAATGGAAGCGCCAGAGAAATGCCTGAAAATTAGCATTTTTCAACTTTTTCCAACCAAACCTTCTTTCAAGCAAAAAAAAATGCTCAAGCCTGAATATGCCTGGAAAAACATGTAAAAAAAAAGCACTCAAAAATCTAAAAATAGGGGTGAATGCAGCTTAATAGTTTGTCCCAACCCATGGAAGTGTAAATCTTGCTGGACAGATTGGTCTGTAAAGGTGGTTAAAATGTAAATGAAGGCCTGTGGAATAAGAAAGGGAAATCATTCACTAAATACTATCCTTACATTTAATAATCTCATACAGTTATCAGAATACAATATCTCTCACTATAGTAGGCCTTCATAGGGGTTTGATATGCTGTGCAGATGGCTCCTAGGAATTCGATGTCATGTATGCAGTAAACCAGTGATAATCTATTACTCTATCTTCATCATATCATATACCCTCTCTTTCTATAAGCAATCTTACATGGATCTCATTTAGTAACTTTTGAATAGCGTTTGGTTTGTCTTTAGTTTAGAAACAACTGTTTGGTTGTCTCAGGTTGTACTCTGGTCTGGTCACACCTCTGCACCTTCCTGTACGTTTTCTCGCCCTTGGATATAAGTACATTGCATATCTAACACTGTGAGGTCAATGTTGCCATTCACACTTCAGCATCTGCGTAACTCTGCAATAAACAAAGCCTTGCATGCGGCAGTTTTAGGAAGTTGGATGTGGGGTGATGTAAAAGGCATCCTGTGACAGCAGGGCCTGGAAAACAGCAGGTCAGGTTTCCAGTGCTAAGATGTGAACAGGGCCGTAGAGCTTATGTGTACCAGTGAATAGTCATCTTCTACAAGCTTGATGTCGGGTACTTTTATGCTCAGTTACACTTCAGTGGGGTATAACTGAGTCACTCGTATCATGGGTACCGACCATACGGATGACACATAGCTTTGTCTAGTGAAGTGCAATGGCGTTGCAACCTACACTGCATGTGCCTGAGTGACTGCATTCACAGCAGGGTAGAGGGTATATAAGAGCAGGCAGTATCATGTTCCCTCTGAAGACAGCCATTTGCCTGTGTATGTGAGCCCTGAATGTAAAATCTTGAATGACAGCTCAGTTCTGTGTAGTAAGCCTGACGCAGAGTTTTTTTTAATAGCAGGTTGGTAAATATTGAACTTGAGGGTGGTTAAACATAACATGGAATCAAACAAGCTATGCTGACCATATTTTTGTGTAATCAGGCCATTTTGTGGTGTTGCTGATTGGATGAAATTGTGGTGCAGTAAAATTGTATCTAAACCCAAGAACAAAAATGTAATACAGGGATAGGCAACTTTGGTGCTCCAGCTGTACTACTAAAAATCCCCTCATGCCTTTGGCTCATTATGGCTGAGGTTGTCAGAGTCTTGCAATGCTTCATGGGATATGTAGTTCCACAACGGTTTGCGTGCTGACGTTGCCTACCCCTGAAGTAATATATTGTGGTTTATCAGGCCCTAGATGTGGTAGCTGCATTCATTTTTCTTTTGGCCTCTTTTTTTATCTCACTTGGTGATCCTGCAAGTAACCCACTTCCTGTCCTTGGGTGACAATGACCCCTCACCGCACTTTATCTGTGAAGGGGCAGGGCTGTCACCTAAAGCTGGCCACAGACCTTACAACCATCGCAAGACTTTTGTCTTGCGATGGTTGTAAGGTAATTAAAAAAACGTACGATCTGCCTATCTTGGACAGGCAGGTTGTACTTGCGATAATCGCAAGCCCACCCCGCTGAGGGGCGGCTTCCGATGACCGCAATGCTGAACGGGCAGTGTGCGCTTGCGCACACCGGCCCGTGCGGCATTTGTCTTACGAACATGCCACACACCCGCAGACAATCGTACGATTCTCGGCGGGTTTTCGAACATGTTCCTAAGATAAAAGTCGTGCGACCTTACAGTAGCAGAGGTCACACGCCTTCCACACAACTTGCGATATTCGTACGATCGCGGGATTTCCCGGGATTATCGTACGATTATCGCAAGGTGTGTGGGCACCTTAAGGCAGCTTTCCTGATTTGGACTACAGACACCTCCTCCTCTTCTCATCACCATTGCCTAATGGTGCCAACAAAGTCACAAGGACATTGGCTTTCTGGCAGGATTTAACAGGTATTTTTCTGTGCTTGCAGAAAACGTACTTAGGCTGAAAAAGACAACTAATGCAGCCACCACATCTAAGGAGTGGTAAGCTGCAATATATTACAGTTTTCTTCTGGGATTTCGATATCCCAATTACTTGGATGCCTTCTTCTATGATCTATCTTTCCAATTAGGGGTAGGTATATGATTTGCTATGAAGACACACATACATTCATATTATAAACAATCTAATCATGCATACCAAGCAAAAAA